GTAACATAAATATGATTCTTTTCCCTTCCTTCCTTCCTTCCTTCCTTCCTTCCTTCCTTCCTTCCTTCCTTCCTTCCTTCCTTTCTTTCTTTCTTTCATATTTACGTATTTATTTGTTTTCCTTTCTCAGCCTGCCACTTCGGATTCAGGAATCTTTACAATATCTCACTTTCCAACTCCAAGGTTTGTACTTTTTGATTTAACTATTCAGCAGAACCATAGATGTGGCTGTAAGTACAGTTATGGAGCATCTTGAAAACTAGAGGTGGACAATTTTTTTTAGCTGAGGGTCGGGATCACATTCTCTGAAGCAATTTATTGCAGTCACATGAGAGTAATGGGTAGAAATGGAAGTTGGTGTTCAGAAGGGATGGAGCAACCACGCGTACTTTTTCTTTTCATCCATTAAGTTCAAACTGTCCCCAGTGACAAGCACGCTTTTCCTGTATACTGAAATATAATGGTTAAGGACTGGGAGGCCTAGATCAAATGTCTCCACTCAACCACAGAGCTCGCTGATCGATTTTAGGTCAGTTACTGTCTTCTAGCCCAACAGGGTTTTTCTTGTAGGAATCCGAGGGCCTTGAGGCCTCAAGGAAAAGGTGAGATAAAATTTCAGGGAATAAATAATAATTCATATATGCAGTTCATTCATTCATTTGCTCTAGCCATATGCATGCACTGCATTCATGTCCTGCACAATGGTGTAGGTAGGTTTTATTTCAATAACTAAAGTAAGAAATTGTTTAAGGCAACTTGTAGATGAAGGCTTAGCTCAACTAGCAGAACAAATTCCTACCTGCTTCCCAGTTCAGTCAATGCATTGCTGGGTGCATTGCTGGGTGCATGTGGTCACATCAGATCACAATTTCCTTGCACTTTGGTGCTTAGTTCTTCTGCAACTTGGGATCTCCATTTGCAGGCCATGAGTATTGCACAGGAGCAGTTGGCTTTTGCTTTGAACTCAGCTGCTAGTTCACTGCCCTTCAGTCTTTCTCTTCAGGGTTTTTATTTTATTTTACAGTCAGCATAAGGGCATTGAAATGGATATATTCAGAAAATTAGTGCTGGAGCAGCCAGAGCCGTCTGTTTGGAAGCCTCACTCTCCTATCCATTACCAAAATTCCAATGCAGCTTTTCTTTTTTGTCTCTTTCAGGCCACCAGTACAAAATCAATTTGTTCCATCTCCACAAAGACCTCCTTTACAACCACCAATTTCACAAAGACCTCCTTTACGACCACCAATTCTACAAAGACCTCCTTTACGACCACCAATTCCACAAAATCCTCCTTTACGACCACCAATTCCACAAAATCCTCCTTTAAGACCACCAATTCCACAAAATCCTCCTTTAAGACCACCAATTCCACAAAAACCTGTTTTCTCTACTCCATCATGAAGAATTGTAAAGAAATGTACTGTATGATGCTAGGAAAAAATATGACAATATTGTATCAGTGAAATGTATTAAAGTATTATTTTTAGAAATATACAAATGAAGACCTCAATTTAATTGCTAAAACAGGACTAAATTTTCAACTAAAGATTTACTTTAGGGTCCCTTGCCCCACCAAATCATTAGATAGGAAAGAACATGCTGCCTTAATTATTAGACCACAGGATATTGCTTTTATAAGCAGTACTGGTCTCATACCAATGAAGATAAAGCCTTATGCCCTTATATAGGGCCAAACTAGATGTTATAGTAAATGTGATCAGAAACTTTGTCAAACTTACAAAATGTAGGACAGGTATCTGCAATTTTTATTTGGAGAAGAGGTGGTTAGGGCTTTCCTTCTCTAGCTGTGGCCCCAATGAGATTCCTCCCTTTCCTTCTCTCCTCACTCCTAACATATATTAATTGTTAACATTACAAGTAAAAACTCATTGAGGTTAGTGGGGAGATGGTACCATGCCCTTAAGATGATGCTTGGGGAAGGAATAGTTAAATCTGTCACACAAACTCACTTCCTATACTATGATCCCAGTAAAAATTGGGGAAGACTGCTGCTCTTACTTTGGTGACAGATTTACTAACTATACAGTTACAACAAATGCTCTGGTTTTTTTAAAATGTACAATTTCTTCTTTGTAGTTGGTTGGTTTATATATAAAGAAACAATGTGAATGGAATATAATGAAGTGAATGAGTGAAGCACAAGACTGATTACAAAAATAAATCAGTCAATGAAGGAAGGGTTATCTGTTTGAGCAAAGATCAGAAGGTGATTTGTATTGCCTAAAATCAACAAACGTCACTTGACAGCCATTGGTACACTTTTGTTGATCCATATGTGTACTGCTCATTACACACAGGAAGATTTGAGGATGAGTCACACTATCCTTAAATGTTTAAATGATCATGTTCTTGTAGGATATTTCTAAAGATTCTTTCAAGTTTCCAGGTAAAATGAAAATATATTTTAAATGTTTTCTTCTAATGCTGAAATGGATGATACTTCTGTTTTCATGTTATAAATCTGTGAAAGCTATGTGTTCTTATTAATAGCTTTATCTGGTCATTTGATATTCATGTTAGTATTGTATTAACATGAGACAAAAGGCCAACTACATACTGAAACATGACAGTAAGTCATGTTTTAACTATGATTTAATGAATAAACCACAATTGACTGGGCTCATTAAGCATGTCCTATCATTTCAGGTTCATAACAGTAATTTGCATGGTTTTCCAAATTCTTTAAAGTGCAACAATGCCACATTTCTGATGACCCTGATGGTAATTTTGGCAGAAATATGACACTTCCACATGGATTCATTATACCAAAGACTTGATTAAAGAGTACTGTTTTCTGGTGAGGGGAAAAAACCACCTGTATCTCTACAGTGTTACAGCCTTTGTTTAAAGTCACATCATAATTGCAGCTTGAATAAATATATATTGTGAAGAACATAATGCATTTGGAAGTTCAAAAATTGGGAAAGTGTTGAATAATTATGTTTTCTAATATATGGTTGAGGAGGCACATATTATGAATAACCAGTTCAAATCTGTAAGCCAAGACTAACACACATGGTCCACCAAATTTAATGTATGCCTATTTCTCATATTTAGTAGCTTACATAACAACCTCTTTCCACTTCAGGCATACATGAAATTCTGTCCAGAGTTGATTTACAAAGTTTTTGAAAAGTTTTTAACATCAAACCTTTGGTAACATAATTGTGATCAGTGAAACAATAGTATTATGCTTGGATGCAAATGCGAATATTTAGACATAAGAATGATTTTTAATGTTTACATTGTCTGAAAAATTGTATCAATATGTGTTTTGGAGATTGCAGAATATTTCAAACTCTAAATTTCCTGTAATCAGTCAAACTTGTTAATGGTGCTATTCCACCTCTAAGCTTTTTACATGTATAATGTCATTCGCAGTTTTGCACAAATCACTTCTGTAATTTAGTGGTAGAAAAATTAGTTGCACAATTTCTATTAAAGTGGCAAATGTTGTGAACCATTTTGTAAAAAAAATAAAAATAAAATAACGATATATAAATGGCATATTTTTAAAAAATAATCTGATATTTCAGTAACACATGAAAAATCAGTAACAAGTTTAATTCTTTTACAATATTACTTTCAACATGATTGCACAATAAATAATGTATGGTGTACAGGAGGTCCTCGTGTAGCAACCACCCGTTCAGGGACTGAATTTACAATGGCTCTGAGTGGTACGTACAACTGGTCCTTGAACTTCCAGCTGTCACAGTGTCCCTGCAGTCACATGATTGCCATTTGCGGCCTTCTGTGCTGGCATCCTACAAACTAAATCAATGGGGAAGCTGGCAGGAGTTCACAAATGGCGACCACACGATGTCCTCGCTTAACGACCCACGGTGATTCACTTACAGCAACCAGAAGCTCTGGACTTTCCATTGCTAAGTGGCATGGTCATGTGACATTGTGCTTTATGACTATGTTGCTTAGCAACAGAAATTCCAGTCCCCATTGGCACTGTTAACCGAGGACTACCAGTAGTTGATATGAGTTTTTTTTAAGAATTTCCCCCTTTTAATTTGCCCTATAGTCATTAACTTTTTTGCTGACTGTTTTTATTCTGTGAAAAATAAAACAATACTTTTAATATTTATTCTGTGAAAAAGGAACAATACTTTTAATAATACATATTATAGTTAAAGTTTGTTAAAATATTTTAAGAAATAAAAGATGCAATAAGGTAACAATTAGTGCCATCTAGTGGCTATCTGTAAATGAACTACAGGTAGTCCTTGCTTAACTATGGTAATTGGGGCTGGAATTTCTGTTGCTAACCGATGCGGTTGGAAAGCATGATGCCACATGACTGCATCACTTAGCAACGGCAATCCTGGTGGTCCCGTTGCCGTCATTATTGTAGGTCATTAAGCAGGGCCTCCTATGACTCTGACTTGCAATTTCCTGCCAGCTTCCACCAAGCAAAGTCAATGGGTAAGCTGGCAGGAAGTTGCAAGTCCCAGTCACGATAAGCCTTTCCTTAGGTGGCTCACAAGGAGGCTGGCGGGGGGCTGAGTGCTACAGAGTGCAGGTGGGCGGGAGGGTGAGTGCTAACAGCCCGGCACAAGTATGGCCAGGTGGGGGGGGATGCTGTGGCATTAGCATGGGCAGGCAGGGGTGCTGCGGGCGGTGGTGCACTAGCGGGGCTCCTTGGGAGAAAAAGCAGCGGAAGCAACTTATGGGAGTGACTTGTGACCTTCCCTGCCGGCTTTCCCGTTGATTTTGCTCATAGGAAGCTGACAGGGAAGGTTGCAACCCTAACCCTAACCCCTTAGCAACTGTGTGTGTGTGTGCGCGCGCACGCGCGCCTGCAACCTGAAACAGAACAGTTTGATACCAACCCTTTAACTCTTAACTGACTGACAGTAAAATATGTTGTCTTGGAATATGTTGCAAGAAGCCAGTATGGAACAGCTTGCTGCTGAAAATAATTAACTCAGCAGGTGGCTTTACTCACTGCTCAGCTCAAGCAACAGCACCCGCCTCCCATGCGGTAAACGTCCTGTGGCTTGCCCAGAAAAGTTTGGTGGAACATTGTCTCAATTTCCTACCTTCTGGGCTCAATGTAATTTATATAAGACTTTGCGACCTGAAGACTTCCTGACAGATGGATTTAGAGCTGGGTTTGTAATAAATTTACTGACTGGAGCAACACCATTGTTAGCACAGCAGAGTCCTTTATTAGATCACTTTGTGGAATTTAACCAGTGTCTACAAGCCATGTACTCTGACCCAGCGAAAGCACAAACAGCTGTCATCTTTGGGAACAAAAGCAAGGGTGCCGCTCTGTTGCCATGTATGTACGTGACTTCAAGTTGATTGCTCAAGATTTAGCCTTAGGAATGAAGAAGCATTGATTGGCCAGTTTCAGGAAGGGTTGGCTAATGCAATCCTAGATGAGTTAGCAAGAACCGAATGCCCAGGCACACTGCAAGAACTAGTACAGCTATGTCTCTGAATAGATGGGCAGTTACAGCAAAGAAAAGCTAGAAATCCAGTACAAAAGCCTGTTACCAAGTTTGCTGCTCCCTTACCAACACCCAACACTGAGAGTACTTTGACAGAGGAACCCATGCAGATTGGGGGCACACACCCACATTGATCTGATGCAAACAGGACCAGGAGGCATCGAGAAGGGCTATGCCGTAGAGGCCAAAGACATCTGGCTGCCACATGCGGTCAAGAAACCATCTCCAGGGAATTCAGCTCCAGGGAATTCAGGAAACGGACCCGCCTGATACAGAAAGCTACTGAATCGGGGAACAATGGTCTGAGGGAGGAGCAAAGCAGGCGATAAAACGCGAAGTGGAAGGGCGGGCTGGGCTACACTGAATATATGGAGCTGAAAGTTTTGTATTATAATTCTTCCTGTTCTTATTCTCACTGTAGCAGTTTTTTTTTTTTAATCAGGTCCAAGTTAACATCACATATAGCCCATAACAACACATAGCTCATCTCCCATGCAGTATCCCTTTTACATCAAACTCTGTAAATTCACACATTAAAGCTAAACTGTGGTTTGCTCGTTTGTGGCTTAGTGTAATGTGTGAACTCAGCCCCTGTGGCTTGTTAATCAAAAGTTGTTTTAGTACGCTCATCCAGCCACTTGTGGTCTATTCAGTAAGTCGTGATAAGGAAACGTAGTTCAGTGCAGCGGTACAGGTTGGAATCAGAGACAGCCTAGGTGGGGCATAGGTAAATCCGTCCAACTTTAAAATGTTAAACTTTACAATAGATTATAAATACGGCAACACAATGCCTGAAAGCGCCTTTCTTGGAAAAGTTTGCTTTTATCGTGCTGGGACACCGAGGGGCTTAACTTGCGAAAGGTCCGGAATGGCTTGGCATACTGCACGCGCGGGCTGTGCTGTTCTTCCGTCTGAAGCAGGAAAGGTGTTTCGGAACCGAGTCCTGCAGTTTTTCTTCCACGATAGATGCGATAAACACGATGTGTACTTCCCGTCACTTCGCGCAAGACTTCTGTCGGGCTCACCGGAACATTTCGCAGCGTAATTTTCCTGCGTTACTCGCGGCTGTGATTTCACTGCCTAGAGCAGGGCGTCTCAGCCTTGGCAACTTTAAGATGCGTGGACTTCACCTCCCAGAATTCAACGCGTACACTCGCTTGGACTTCAGTGAATGGATGATAGAGTCTCCTTCCTTTCAGAGGATAGAGTGTCGCTGGTAGACGCTCTGGCTTCTAAACTCAGATAGGGACAGCGGTAGGGACGGGCGTTTCTCTCTTGGCTGGGGAAAAGGGGTAATCGCTAGCGAGGGGGGTGGACGCATAGAAGAATCGTCGGCGACTCCATAAGCCTGGGAGAGAAGGTAAGTGGCAAAGGGAGGACTTTAAACACTGGCTGGGTTCAGGTGACCCGCTTAACCTGGATCCTGAACTGACCCGTTTTCTGAGTTTGCACGCAATGGGCTGCTTAATCGAATCAAACGCCCCGCCCCTGGAACCAGGCTTAATACTTCACAGGCGTAGCCTGTTTGCGACAGCAGCTGCCTCGCCTTTCACTGGCTTAGTTCAGCGGGTGGTTTGAACCAAGGCGCTCGCGGCAGAGCTGGGGCGGGGGGCGAGGATGCTGCGGCCAAAGCATGGAGGGGTGCGCGGTCCTGCAAAATAATCCAGGGCGTTTATTCCCGCCCTTGAAGTTGTGGGTAGGTTGTTTGTAGTTTATAGGAACAATTCTTTCTAAATAGCATTAATAGTAATAGTAATAATAATAACAGCCATCGGCATTGACAAAATCACCACCAGTCAATTGCAAAAGACAGCTTTACTTGGAACAGCCTCCATCCTGTGACGATATCTTTCACACCATCGGACAACAACATCTGGGAGGGACTCAATAGGTGGATAAAAATGTCAAATCCAGCCTAAACATCTGGCTGGCTGTGCAACAACTATCATAATAATAATTCTAGATCCGCACATATACTACGCCTATACATTACAGCATCTTAGGTTCTTGGGAAGAACTTGATGCGAATGAAGGCCAATACCAGCTAAAGAACTGGCAGGTGTGATTTCATATTGATGGGTAAATAATAATAATAAATAATAATAGTTTCTAGCTATGCCAAATATATTTTTCTGGGAGTAAATGGCATTTAACACCCTTATGTATGATTGCTGTTTTATTTCCCCTAACTGTAGATGTGTGAATTTTATTCTTTAGTCCATCTGCAAAATTTAGATATGCTGAACTTTGTTTTGTGAATAGTTTCTGTATAGATTAAAGACAAAGCTTTGAATGTCGCTATGATTTCTTTTTTTCTTTTTTTATAGCTAGCTGGGATTACAAATGACTTACAGGTTGTTTTTTAAGTAGTGGCTAGTCTGTTGAAAACAAAATAGATTAAGATGATAGATATTACTGGATATACATTTGCTATTATACTGAAAAGGTATAAGATTGCTACTTCTGAATTCCCTAATAGGAACAGAAAACAGTACCCAGCGCATAAATTCATAAAACTATCAAGACTCTCCTTTAGTACCAATATAAAACAAAATGAAATGTTCAGGACTTCAGGTTATGGTTGCAGAATCAAAGATAAGAATTTTTCCTCCCAATTTGTACTTTTCATTCAGCACTGTTTTTAAATCACAATAATGTATAAGTATTACTGAGAATACGTTTTTCCCCCCATTTATAGGTAATATCAGTAGGTGGCAGTAATGCCCATTTATTTTAACTTCCTTTTATTTCTTTAAGTTACTTTAATTTTAAAAATTACTGTGAGTTATTGAACAAACAGTACAGTAAATTTAAATTGCACTTTAATACTGATTTTTTTCAACACTTATGAAAAATAATGGAATTAAAATAGCAAAATGTTACTTTTTAAAAAATAGATCACAATGTTTTCCTTTTAAATATAACATTTGCCCTCCTTTCTGGGGCATGCATGTGTTTACATGTTTTTATGTGCTGCTGCCAATCCTCTGCAACAGTAACAACACAAGTTTCTTAGCTGTTTATTATGAGCAACTGTCCTTGTTCTTCTAACAAGAAAAAGTATGGCATCAAAAGCTACAAAACATCGTATTCACACAAAGCAATTATCTCTTCAGTACTGGTATCTCTGATAACTTGTCATGTGATTAAGGAAACACATGCAACATTGAGTTAATGCAGAACATCACACCTTCAGTTCTTTTCTATCACAGAAGTGGATGTTCCATCACAGGGGAAACTATGGAGCAAAAGACTGCTGGAAGCCATCAGCTGGGACTGTGTGTGCTTTGTGGCTTACCAGCAGCAGGTAAAACTAGGACAGCACAAGCATTGAGTTCCTCCTTGAGGAAGCGTAAAGGATGGTCCTGCATTCTTCTGACTTATGACAGTCTCATTCCTTTGGAAGCATTCAGCCAAATAGAGGTAAGATCAGGGCAAGAGATGCAGCAGACTTCATTCATTCATTCATTCATTCATTCATTCATTCATTCAAATGTATTATGGCCACTTACTTCAGAAGACTCGGCGGTTAGAAGACTTTGGTCAGTGAAAATTCTTTGCTTCACTGCAAGTTGTTTTAATGCAAATTCAATTAAGTTGATCAACAACAAATATGAAAGAAAATTGGAGTTAGTCATCAGCTAGTCATCTTGATGTTGAAAGCCAGTTTGGTGTAGTAGTTGAAGGCATTAGTGGACACCCCCCCCCCCCCCGGTGTTATAGTCACTGTGCTGGGGCATCTTCCATTTTCAGATCTCATATTGACTTTAGGTAATTAAGTAATTAATCCAATATTTTTTCCTTTAAATTAACTGTGAAGCTTATCTTGACTATATGCTCTCCTAAATTTGCTAATATGAGTATAATCTGTGTATGATGGGAGCATTTTAGTTTATCAATTCATTAAATTCTGTACACTAATAAAATGTCATTTTAAAATTTTAATTCACATTTTCTGTGACTTTATTTTCCTAGCAATTAGTTTGCGTTACATTAATACATGTTTTATTAACATTTTCAGTAAAAAATAATTAAAAATAAACAGATCTTGTAAAACACAACCGTACGCTTAATAACATGAACGTCAATACTAGCCTGCATTTTTAAAGCATACAGAAATAAGCTACTGGAAATACTTCTGTTTCTGAATCTTATTGTTTTGTTCTTTAATTGTAATCATATTAATCACCAGCATGATGTTAACTTTCTATAGTATTTTTATATGATTATTTTGGGGAGTGAAAAGTGATGTTTGAATAGATGCATAATGTTTGGAAGGTTAGTTTTAACATAGTGTTACCATTAGGAGAGTTATATTAATATATTGAGAGAAGTAAGAGTTTTGCAGTACCATAAAACATTGCTGTGTAAGCTTTTGTGGAACATTTTCTTGTGCCCCTTTTCCATAATTGAAAGTCGAATTTGTCTTTAAGATGGGGGGAAGGGGGAGTCCCTGGACCATATACAGTGATTTTTTGCAGTTCCTGTAGCTCACTGTATCTAATCTATTTTCAGCAGACCAGGATGCTTCTGAATGTCATCATGCAGCCTGCATCCAAAAATCAGTGTTGCAGTTTGCCAGCATGTATATATGTAAAATACAGTAAACCTATTGCATAAAACCAAAGAATATCTGCCAAGCTTGAGGCAGAAGAGAGAATCACTATGCACGGATTTGGTCTGCTTATATAGTACTGATGCTTTATGTGTTTATTCTTCCATTTGTTTTCTCCTTTAAAGTTAGTAAACTGATTTTTAAATCAGTTGTACAGAAAGATACAAATGTACGTGAAAGACTGTAAGTCTGTACCTGGTGACTATTCCTGTGAATTCTTTTTCTTTTTGCAAAGAAATACATCTGTACCTCTGCGATATGGCTTTACCCGCCACATTCCCCAAAAGCTATTTGGTGGCTTGCCCCAAGTTGCCAGCTCCTGCTTTAAGTTTTAAAGGCATGATGAGGTTTGGTGCAGCAGGCTAGCATAGTTACCAGGGCTGTACAAAATATTTCAAGGGGTGCTTCCCAAAGCCTGTGAGCATGAACAAAACCATCCTTCCTCAAAACATTAAAGCCATTGCATACTCCAGAACGCTCAGCTGAGGTGTTTTCTGCAATGTTATGCCTGCCCGGCTGCTTCGCTGCCTGCCCCACCAGAGGTGTTTTCTCTGAACACGCGTGCGCATGGAGGCAATCTGAAAAAGCCTTCAAAGCAACTAAGCTGAGTCTTCAGAAGGATGCAGCTGCTTCTGTGTTTTGAGGAAGGGCACTTTCTTCATGCCCATGTGCTTTGCAAAATGCCCCTTTGAATGCTTTGTACAGACCAAATACAGTAGTTACTGTTCCAATTGTGGATGCAGATTTTCAGAGGGGTAGGTGCAGATTTGTTCCAACAGAAACAAGAGTTGGGTGGCCCTTCCAGAAAGGCATGTAGCAATACTCTTACGGAAGTGAAATAGAGTTTTTTATCAAAATTATGGGGGGGGGATTTAATTTAAAGTAGAATGAGATGGCTAGACAGAAAAAATTGCCAGTGACCTAAAATATGAAGAAGACAGATGTCCATTTTCGACTGAGGCAAATAACAGTGCATTTGTTGCTGTTGATAGCTCCAGATTGCAGCCAAAACCTTGTAATCTAACCATGAATAATTGTCTTCTTACTTTATAGATTTCTCATTGGAGATCATACCGGCATGAATTATTATTGTATCTTGAACACTTCCTTCAGGCTCTTATTAAAGGATGCCATTACTTTCCTCCTCCAAACAGAACTGAAACAATGTGGAAAAGTTTTGTCTCCTGTTTGATGGAGCAAGGATTAATATCTGCAGGAACAGAAGACTCTGCATCTTGTCAATATTTAATAGATTTCATCCCACTCAGGCCAATATATTTTATTTTAGATGACAACTTTTATTATCGGAGCATGAGATATGAAGTGTTCCAGTTAGCTCGCCAATGTAAGTTTGATTTTATATTTCACACCAGTGATTCAGCCATATGACTCAGCAATGCAAACCGTATGTGAGCTCTTGTAGTTAAAGGGATTCTTTCTTGATGAGCAGGGTAGAACTTCTCAATTACATCTTATGTACTGTCCTGCAAATCAGTAGAGTGCTACATAGAACACCTGTGCCAGAACAACATTAGTGGGCAGTCATTCATGATACAGAATGCCACTATCTATTTTTGAATGGCTTTTGTGAACTATTGTTATTTTTGATATAAGTCTTAGGGTTTGGGTGTAGAAATGGCTGTTCTCGTCCTGATGGATGACGTCATCTGGAAGAGGGCCATAAATCTCTGAGAGATGGAGTGTCAAATTACTGCAACCACCAGTGGCTGTATTTCTTTTCTGCCTTTCTGCCAATTGGATGGTGATCTTGCTGAATTGGTATCCACTCATTGGTGGATCAGTCTGCAACAAACAGAGGTTATTTGGGGGTTCCTTTATGTAAAGAGGGGACATTCCAGCTGTTTCAGATGAAATGGCACTCTTCCTGAATTCTGATGTGGTCAGTCTGTGGTGCTTATTGCTCCAGCTGTCCCTGGAAGGACATTGTGTAAGGCTGGTGTGCCAGCTGCAACTTCTGGGCAGGAATACATTGACCTCAAAAATCCACTCTCTGGAAGTCTTCAAGTTAGATTGATTATTCATTATTGATTTATTTTATTAAATTTAGAGGTCGTCTTACTCCAGACGACTGGGTGGCTTACATTTTAAAAAGTAAAGAACAATAAAACATATAATGCACCAAAGAATAATCATCTTATTTGGAGGAGATTGGGATTAAATTTTACCAGTGGTCAGCTGACTTGGTGCTTGTTCTGTTTTTCACATTAATACAAATACTGATGATTGTTAAATATAACTCCTTCAGTACATGTGTCTATCCATGAAACCTCTCTTTTTGTTTTGCAAGCTCTAACCATTCTACTTTCTCTTGGTACTGGGTTTAGGCAATTGCCATTTATTATGGGGGGTGAGGTGAACAGACTTCCAAGATATTCCATATCCTGCCTGGGTTCTTTCTGACAGGGTAAAAGTGAGGGAATTAGAGCTTTTATAAATCTCTCTTTTTTTTTTAAAATCCCCTCATTGAAGCCAGTGAAAAGGAAACATATCTAAGACAGCTCCAAGACTGCTGTAGATAAAGTGTTGGTTTGTGGTATGTCAGAGAGCTTGGAAGGTTTTAGAATCTGCTGAGCAAATCCCCTGGCCAGCAACTAGCATGGTTTTTCCTCTTTTATTGGAACAAATTGGCCTTAGAGACTGACAGGAGACTTTTCTCATTTGAAGGTGAAACCCACTCACTGTTGTTATGCTCAGAAGGGGAAAACTAATTACCCTGTAGTCTATAAGTTTTCTAAACATATTTTTAATACAGTGTATTTTATCTAATGCATATATGCATTTTAAAATACTGCCGCTTGCATATTGACAAAATAATCAACTTGAAAAAAATTGTTTAAATAGCTGAGCAGAAAAGTATGATTACTTTTAATATTCAATTGCCCCTTAACCCATTGTTTAATTTCTAATTTCTGTAAAAGTTTATGTATGTCACAAACACAGTCTAACTGCAGTGAGTTTTAAATGACTGTTTTTGATACACATATTTTTTATTTTCTAGATTCGTTGGGCTTCTGTCAGTTGTTCCTAGATTGTCAGGTTGAAGTTTGTTTAGAGAGAAATTGTCAGAGAAAACAGCCATTACCTGAAGAAACCATATTTGCAATGGCACAAAAACTAGAATGTCCAAATCCAAAGAAATACACGTGGGAACAAAATAGCCTTATTCTGAAGAGTGCTGGATTTTCATTAGAAGATAAGTATGTTGTCTCATTAAAGCAATTATTTACATTCTTTTTATAATGGTGGTCTCTGGGCATTCTTTGCCTGTAGAATTCTTGCTTTGTATTCCTTTGTGTGTAGAATGCTTACTTCAGAAGAAAGGAACTTGTGAAGAGGGAGAAAAGTCATGAGCTTCTTACATGTCCTGGTACAAGTCACTTTTGGAAGATGTAAAGTGGGGAGATGGCTTCTACTTGAAGAGAAACCCATACTCATTTGTACTGAATTGCATTTTGTACACTGAACTTCTTCAATGTCTAGCTTTTTATATGGATGCTATCTATTGACCCCATTGATCTCAGACTTTATCCTTGAGCATGTTGCTAGTTATTCATATATGGGCATTTGCAGTTTAATTTTATAATCTTTTTTTTTTCCAGTCTTCAGGTGTTTAATTTGTTATCTTCTGCTTTGGAAAATCCAGTAAAACCCATGGAAGAGAATACAGAAGTAAAGGTACTTTGGATTATCTGGGTAACAGGTTTAGGAGTTTTGCTATACATAGGAAGCCATTGAGAGGGCAACACATTTGGCTCATGACATTATGGACAAAAATAAACAAGAGAGCTGGAAACTTATCCATTGTGTTACAGCAGGAGTGTCCAATTTTTTCTAAGATGGAGGATTGCAATTGACCTTTGACACTTCAGAAGCAGGTGAAATGGGATAGATGCAAAACTCAGATTTGTTTTAATTATATCGTAGCTAATATTCATTTTTTTTTGTTTTTGTCACACATTTTTTCAACTTATGGAGGGGCTTTAGAGGCCACACACTATGGAAGGCCACAGATTGTACACTCTGGGAACCAAACATTTTTTACATAAAAATATAAATCTCATTTACTATTCAGTTTCTGCTCCCAAAAGTTGAGTAGAATAGGAAAAATAATGATTACAACTCAGAAGGCTCTTAGGACATCTCATCTCATTGCTTAAAATTGTTTTCCATTTTTAAAAGTTCTTAAGGCAAAATTTGAAGTTCTCCAAGCTGTCATCTTGGCTTTTAATACAATACATCAGCAGTTGCACAGTCTTGAATGTTGAACTTTGGTTTAAAGATACTGTATTCTGAAAACACAAAAGCAAATCCTACTTAGTATTACTAATGTTGATATGAGAGTTAAATGAAAAGTAATGCCTCCAACGTTATGAGTTGCAAACAGATGGTACTATTCACTAGAACTGATGCCCTAGAAGTTTTGATGTGTTCTTTAGCATCTGTTCTTTCACTTCAGTTGATAGAAAGTTGCTGTGAGAAAAGGTTGTATTATATAGTGGTATGTTGGAATAACCTTGGGAGACAGGAGGAAGAGCTACAGCCTAGACAATGGTCTGATAAACGAAATTTGAGTCTGATGGAGGAGGGGGTACTTTCAGACTTGCATGATTCTGTCCATATAACCTTATAATAAAGATAGAGCTGGTATTCCTAGTTGTGCTGCTTTTTTGGACTATCACATAAGGCTAACACATTGTTTGTGAAATGGAAGCTTGCAGTGAATACTTACCAGTGTGCTGTAAGCAATGCACTGTGATTTAATTTTTAACTGCTGAAGGAGTCTCTCCAGTTGACATTCTTTGCCAAGTGCAGATTGTTTATGGTGATGACTGTCTTGATGCAAGCACTGTGTATTGCTGAGCCAAAAAATGTAAAGACTGTGAACCAGTAAGAGCTAGTTTGTGTGACCAGAAATGAAGTGGATGTTAACTTAACTTCATTAAGTTAATTCAGCAATTAATACAGTGGGGCAAAAAAGTATTTAGTCAGCCACCAATTGTGCAAGTTCTCCCACTTATACTTATTTTCCACCAAGATTTGCAAATAAATTCTTTAAAAATCAGACAATGTGATTTTCTGGATTTTTTTTCTCATTTTGTCTCTCATAGTTGAGGTATACCTATGATGAAAATTACAGGCCTCTCTCATCTTTTTAAGTGGGAGAACTTGCACAATTGGTGGCTGACTAAATACTTTTTTGCCCCACTGTATGTTTCACACAATAAAGTTTGATGAATTTATTAAGGACAATCAGATCACTCAAAGCGAAACTGCTATCAAGTTAGCCATTTTACAAGAATGTAGTACTTATTTTCCACCAAGATTTGCAAATAAATTCTTTAAAAATCAGACAATGTGATTTTCTGGATTTTTTTTCTCATTTTGTCTCTCATAGTTGAGGTATACCTATGATGAAAATTACAGGCCTCTCTCATCTTTTTAAGTGGGAGAACTTGCACAATTGGTGGCTGACTAAATACTTTTTTGCCCCACTGTATGTTTCACACAATAAAGTTTGATGAATTTATTAAGGACAATCAGATCACTCAAAGCGAAACTGCTATCAAGTTAGCCATTTTACAAGAATGTAGTACTTATTTTCCACCAAGATTTGCAAATAAATTCTTTAAAAATCAGACAATGTGATTTTCTGGATTTTTTTTCTCATTTTGTCTCTCATAGTTGAGGTATACCTATGATGAAAATTACAGGCCTCTCTCATCTTTTTAAGTGGGAGAACTTGCACAATTGGTGGCTGACTAAATACTTTTTTGCCCCACTGTATGTTTCACACAATAAAGTTTGATGAATTTATTAAGGACAATCAGATCACTCAAAGCGAAACTGCTATCAAGTTAGCCATTTTACAAGAATGTAGTACTTATTTTCCACCAAGATTTGCAAATAAATTCTTTAAAAATCAGACAATGTGATTTTCTGGATTTTTTTTCTCATTTTGTCTCTCATAGTTGAGGTATACCTATGATGAAAATTACAGGCCTCTCTCATCTTTTTAAGTGGGAGAACTTGCACAATTGGTGGCTGACTAAATACTTTTTTGCCCCACTGTATGTTTCACACAATAAAGTTTGATGAATTTATTAAGGACAATCAGATCACTCAAAGCGAAACTGCTATCAAGTTAGCCATTTTACAAGAATGTAGGGGTCACATTATTGATGTTCTTCAATATAGAAAGGTTTGTACAAAATGGGTTCTTCACATACCAATGTCAGAGATGAAAGCTTCAGGAGTTTAAATTTGCCGGCAATTGTTGCCATGCTTTAAGAATGAATGTGAAGAATTTGTTCAGAGAATAAGGACAACCAATGAAACATGGACTTACCATTATGACCCAGAAATGAAGCATTAGTCCATAGAATATCATCACAAATCTTCACCTGAGGGGGGAGGAAAACCCAAACTTCAACTGGAAAACTCACGGTTATAGTTTTTTGGATGTATATGGTGTTACATGGATTTTCTTATACCTGGCACCACTATCAACTCAAGTGCTACATTGCAAAACTGAAACAATAATTAAGCAAAGTTCAGAAACATGAGAAGGAAATTTTGCTGCAACATGACAATGCTAGGCTCAATGCCAGCCAAGAGGCAATTGCAAAGTTGAATCTCACTGTCTTTCCCCATCTGCCATGTAGCCCTGACTTGGTGCCATGCAACTTCTACCTTTTCCCAAAATTGAACAAGCACATTTGTGGTCATTAGATGAGGAGGTAGAAAGGAATGACAGGACCTGATGATGGCTTTAAGAAGCTTGTCTATTGTTGGCAAAAATAGGTAGTGATTATATGGAGAAGTAAATACAGTGGAATCTCGGTTTACAAACTTAATTCGTTCCGTGACTCTGGTCGCACCCCGAATTGGTCGCAACCC